CAATTTATTATTGGCCTTTTTCTCAATTGCTGCTAATATTTACATTTTACCTTGGAAATGACCTCTTCATTTTCTTATTAAAACCAAAAAGTGATAATTGGAAAAAATATTTTAAATTAGCTGGAAATTGGAAGTCGACCTTTTTTAATAATATAAAATTATTGAGTGGGATTTACTAAGAGTTGTGAGAGTTTTTAAAGAGCTTTAAATGCTTTACAGTATTTTGTTATTTTTCCTAGATTCAAGTCATATAATTCCGAACGAATGTTATTATCAAGAATTCAAATTTATTAATTAAGTCTTATTACTTTTGTTGTGATTGAATGAATTCATTATCGCAAATATCAAGTTTCAATATAAGATATGAAAAATATTTGTAATAATATAAAATTCTATTTCTTTAATTATTATACTTTTTCAATGCAATGTGTGCGTCTGATAAGTCATGCTAAACTTTCCTTACCAGCGTTTTAGATCCAGAAACCTTCAATAATAGGTATACGCCCACTAGTATAAATTCTCTTATATTTGGGAAACTTTTGGTTACAGACTCATATTTGGATGATATATTCGTGCAGACATCCTCTGCATAAAGAGATATAGTTATATAAATCTAAATCAGTGAAATAATCGAGTTTACTATTAAGCTTCTTTAGTGGTGACATTGACAGTAATTTCCAAAGTTGATCAAGATTCAAATTGCCTTCAGTACGTGATCGTCACAAATCGGGGATAACTGTAGAATGGTTCAGTTTTTGAGCGAGAAACTAAAAATTTAATACAAAATATATTTATAATAAAAATATATATATATATATATATATTTATCTGTATATCAATTTAGGGGGCGTGGCAACTGCTTTGTAGAGCACGCATACTATATTCTTACTTGTTTCTGTTCTCTCCGTATATTTAGCTCAACTACTTTCCAAATATTAAAATAAAAGTTGTATTTCCTGGAAATATTTGTAATTTTTACTAATATATATACTTAAATACTTTCTGTATTGTGTTTTGTAATTGGCTTTAAATAAAAATAAAACTACTTAAGATAAGCCAACAACACGTCAGTGCGCTTTTTGGCATACTATCATTTATCGTGCCTGGGCAGCTGGCATATTTACTGTGTATAGACTTCCATTTAGCCTTATATGTATAGGAATTGGATCGTAATGCCTGTCGTCAGCAGTCGTCGCATTTACTGTTGGGGCGTTGCCGTGGGTCTGGGTTTTAATTAGCCTTGAGTGCGTGTTTTGCGCCAAAAGGCATCAACAAATTGTTATATAAGCCACACGCCCAACAAAGCGGTTAAGGGCCTAACATTTTCGTCCCTCGGCCAGCGTTTGCAATTGGCCCATTTACGCAGCACAAAACACAACTAAAAAACAAACTAAAATGAAATTGAGCAAGAGCAAAACGTTGAAATAGCTGAGAAGACGTGAAGGCGTGCTTTTGACTTATAAGGATATGTTAGCGCTTATTATGACCCTGAATGTTGCTGCGACCGCACCGCCGAGTCATGGCAAATGTTAAGGTTAGGAAACGTTCAGCAGGCCAAAAAGAACTGGAAGCCGAAAACCTTTTTAATTCGCGTGTTTACGACTAAATTGCATGTGGAGCGCGTTAAAGGCACAAAGCAAAAGAGCAAAATAGCAAGAAACAAAGTGGAAACCTCGTGAAATTAATAACATTTTTTCGAATACATGAAAATGTCCGCAGTAACATTTAAAAAAAGTACACATAAGAAGGTAACGATGAAGAATGTGGAGTACCTGCACCAGTACCTGTACCTACTCCTGTACCCTGTCAAAACATCAATCGTTTTTTAATAAATTTTGCTCTTGCTATAAGCGAATAACCTTTGAGAAGAGTATACGTGAAGACACCTTGTGGGGCCATTAAAAGCTTAATTCCTTTAAAAAATAATGTAAATTTATTTACTAAAAATATAATGCTCAACTTTTGCCACAAAGCATCAGATTTGTATTCTCATCACTTCTGATTTCGATCATATATATAGTTGTGTGAGAAACCCGTGAAAAAATATATTGCATATATTAACATCCTTTAGGATGTATTGAAGCTGCAAAATTTTACGGTAAGGTACTGTAGAACCTCTGTTAACTTTGAGCCAAATTCATATATCTATCAAATCGGAAAAACAATATATTGAGCAGAGTTGATCCAAAATTGCCAAGTATTGTAGGTAAATCAGTTCCTCTACACATAAATCATATATGCCCAATGAGTGGTAAATTTAAAAATATTTTGTTTTAAAAAATTATAACTGTTTTTGTACCATGAACAAGTTATGCAGTTAGATGCAGTTGACTGCAACATTCTCAGTTGCTTAAATATATTAATGCTACTGTCAATAACTTTTGCTATTGCTGCTTGATTATTAGGAAGGTATTAGGTCTTTTCCGATTCTGTGCAAAAATCAAGAATCCCAAATTCAAAGATTTACCACTAAAATTAAAGTTTTTCATTTATTTTCCAACTATTGTGATTATTAGCTTAATTTCGACCAAAAATAAAATATTTTCTTATTATAAATACATTATACAAGTGCAAATATATTACTGTAATTGATCTCAAATAACGAGTAATAAGAGCTTGAGCTAAAATTAATATTATATTGATATTAAATTATATCGAGTTCTTAAGCTCTTAAGAATTTTGTTATCCGTCATAAATGGTTCCACTTTCGATATTTATCAAATATTTTAAAAATCGAAAAATATGGCCTTAAAATATTTTAGTTTAACAAAAAATATTCCTTTTGAAACTATATACTACTATAGAGTAATCTTTTCTCACTCTCCAACGAGGTCCAGCATTTGGCGCTTTGTTAAATTTGTGTTATGACTGGAATTCGTAACAAAACTCGACGGTTCAAGATTTTTACTACATTTAAATTTGTGTGTGTCTGTGGAAAGTTCGCCGTCAATTTTTGTACATTCTTCTCTTTTCGCTGCAAGATGAATTCGCTTTTTATTTTTCTTGCTCGGGAGAACTTGAAGGTTTCAAAGTGTAAGTCAAAATAAAAAAGTTTGCGCATTTTATTGTTTGATGAGTTTTGAATGGGGTGTGGCCAAAGGGTGTGGCGATTGTCAAAGTTGTTTTCAATGGATATATCATCGCTCTCTTTCACTCTCGCTCTGCCCTGCTCTGCTCTGCTCTTTGCTTTTTCAACCAAATCATCCATAACGACTCGCCAATTTGATTAATGATGGATGAGTGTAAAACTGTATGCAATTGAATAGGGAAATAGCAAAAAAAATTTCTATGTTGAATGTGTAATGAAAAGTTTTGATTTTCTATGTCCAGCCGGGAGATTGGCATTTGATATATTGCTTCAAACAACTTTAAGTATTAAGTATTGATATTATCGATAAAAATCGATAATTTGATTTTGGTAGTTTATTCTTTTGTGTGCTTGTGATCGTTATGTATCTAGGCTCGAAGCGTAGAAACTTTGAAGAAACAGCTGTTCGCAGGGTTCAGACTGTCTTCTATTCAAGCACTCCCGATTAGAACTCTCTTGCTTGATTAAAATTTAATATTGGTAAGCTGATTTATAATACTGAGCTATATTTAAAAAAATACATTTTGGATAAAAATTATATTTTCATTTTTTTTTGTTTGAAATATTAATGCATCCTATGTTTGCAGAATTTGATCAATTATTGAAGATTGCAACATAATAAATGACATATTGAAGAATTTTTTGTTGGGGCATGCCAATGAGAACTTTGCAATACGATGTTAATATATTTTTAAGAATCCTATTGATAATTTGACTAAATCACTTTCTTTCACACTCTATACTCTACACATACATCTTTGAAAATACATTTTACAGCTTAGCAAATAGTTTTTAACATTAAAGATGTACGTCTACCATATATTTTGATGATGTTACTGTTATTATCGATTATCATCGTGTTCCTTGCAGTAAATCCGTCTTTATTCATAAGTTAGATGACAAGAAAAATAAAAAAATTGAAAGTCTTTGAGAACATGTTGTGCATTGCCAGGGATATCAAAACTCAACATAAATGCAACAAATTTAAATTAAATAATTTAATACAAAATACATGAAGAACAAACACATTGTTGAAAATATAGTTGAGCCTGATTTGAACTGAGGATTATCAAGAGTTGTATGTGTGCGTGTCTCTTTCAACTGTGTGTGTAACAAATAGAGGAATGCAGCCAAGAGAAAGAAAAACAAAAACAAATAGGAAAATTTAAGACGGGCTTTAGAACGCTTCCATGTTAAACTGAAGTAAAAAGCAGCAACAAATTAAGATAAAACCGAAACATAAATAAATTCTATTCAATTGTTTACATGTCTTTGTATGTGTGTATATGTGTGTGTTAGGCTCTAAACGCTTTTTGTACGCTAATGGACACTAGTTAGACAATTATCAAACAAATATTTATATATACATATTCATATATATAGCATATAAGCAAAGTATAGTATATATATATACATATACATAGTTAATCTAGGCAGCTTTTAGCTTTTAAATATTATTATAAATACAGAGCAGTTATTCAATTATTTTTGTCATATGGCCCGAGTGAAGGACAGTTGAAACAAAGGATATATACACACAGACAATACGCCCCGAAAAGTATGCAACAGAAATAATTCGATTGTGAACAGAGCATATTTTTGAAATGTTTATAAGCAGAGAGAATCGTCGTTAAACATATTTATAAAAACCAAAGCCCAAATATATTAACGTTTTTAAAATAGACATCAAGCGATAAACAAATTTTTTTACCTATATATATACATATATTTTTTTATAAACCAACAACAACAACAACAACAACAAAAAGAAGAACAAGACAAAGCAGAAAGCAATGCACAATGCATGTATTCCCTAGCCTAAGTTAAGTCTGTAAATTGCTTTTGAATAATTTTCTCAGTTTATATATATATTTGAAGATTGTTATACCAATGAAATATTTACTTTTGATGGTTTCAATGAGGTTTATTTCAAACAAAGTTTTATATATGTCACTCGGTTGAAGCTTAAGCAAGTAATCCAAAGTACAATCATTTTTGTCAATACAGACACAAAACGATAAGAAAACGAATGAAATCAAATATTATAAATACTACACGAAAAAGACCTAAGCGCAACAGTCTAACGAGCTGCACAGCACTTTAAAGTCGAGTCACATCTTATTAGGCATATATACAGGGACAGACAAGAAGAAGAACAACAACAACTACAACATTAAAAACAAATTTTGCTAAGATTTTTAACGTTTATTTTTCCAAAACACGCTTTATATGAGAGAAATTGAAACGAGGTTAGAATAGCTTGAAGTGAGATTAGAAACGCTAAACGTGAGGTGAGAGTTGCTTGATTTAAGATAAGGTTAGCTGTGCTTAGAACAGAACTGCATAAAGTGAGGTTAGAATTGCAAAAAATGTTCTTAGAATAGCCGGAGGAAAGTGTGGGGCACGATTAGCTTAAAGTGAGAGTAGAATTGCAGCAGCTCTAAATTAAGAGGTAAAACGTTTTAAAGTAAGATTAAATTGAATAAAAAGTGAGGTTAAATCTGCAAAGTCAGCTAAAACTGCCTAAAAAGTGAGGTTAGCTCAAAAGTAAGGCTAGGCACAACTGCCACGTGTTGCAAACTAAGAAATAGCTGCGCCCATGCATGCGCTAAACTAACGAAATCAAATTAAAGACCGTAAAATCGAATGGTTATTAGGCGTAAATCATAGTTTATAACTAAGGCCCGTATACTTAAGCGCAGTAAGCAAAATGTATGCAGCTGCTGGCGGCGCCTCCTTGGCCTCGCGCCAGGCACGTCAGCGCCAGCGACAGCAGAAGAAGAACCAACAGCTACAAGCGAAACTACATCCACCGAAAGCAACTGTAGTTGGTGTCGGACTCGGCGCTGCTGATCATGGCGGCGCGTCGACGCCGACACGCAGTCAATCGCGACAATTCCACCAGCTGCCCACCAGCTACTTGCGGGCGCCGCAGCAGCCGCAGGGACGCAAACTGAGCGCCACCTACACGCAGTCCCGTTCGCTGCTGCCCATCGAGGAGGCGACGGGCGGCTCCGATACGCAATCGGTGCTGCAGCTGCGCATGCAATCTCACACGCACACACACTCGCACATCCATGGGCACAGCCACGCCCATGGGCTGCAGGGCCATGGACATAGTCATATGCATCACAGTCATGGGGGTCCCGTGCAGACGCCCTATCAACAGTTTGCCTCATCACATGGACGTGTCTCACCGAAGCTCGTGCATCGGCACAGCGGCAGTAGCGCTGGCTTCCATCCCGGAGCAGCAGCAGCAGCAGCAGCAGCAGCGACAGCGGCAGCGGGACAGCTGCATAAATCGGCAACGGCAACATTGCCGCTGGTATCCCAAATGGAGGCAACGCCGCCAACGACACCTGCGATGCCATCGGCTGCGGTCGGCGTTAAAACGACGGCGATGTCGATGCTGGAGACAGACGCCACGCCCAGCACATCAGCGGCGGCGGCGGCCGCAGAAGCCGCTGTCTCTGAATCTCAATTGGAGCTGGACGGCGCGGCGGCTATGTTTATAGCTCACCATGATGCGATCATTGTAACGCCGGCCACGCCCATGGCCTCGCCGGGACACGCCGCCGCAGTGGCCACAGCAATAAAGCTACGACGAGCCGACGATGACGACGAGCCACATGATTCCGCAGAGCGCCAACCCCTAACAGCGTACGACGAAGACGAGCCGATGCAACCGCCCAGCGGTCCATTGGAGCGTAAATGCAGCGTCTACCGCATGCGTCGCAGCGATGCATTCGAGCAGACTGACGTTGGCGTCACCAGCGGTCTGAAGCGGCAGCTGCGCGAGCTGCAATTCCAGCAAACCCAATACGAGCCACTGATCAGCGATGAGCCGCAACTGCTCTTCAAGGGTCGCAAATGGCAGCTATGCGCCTACTGCGAGGAGGGCATCTGCGTCTGCGAGCACATCGAGGTAAATGCGGCCAAAATCAAACGAATCACTTTATCTATTATTCCGTATGTGTCTATGTGTATATTGGTGTGTGTGCGTGGTCTTAAATGTACTCGTTAACTAACTAATGCATGCTCATTCTAAGTGTCAGCTGTGCATCTCCTTGTAAAAGCTTATTGACAGGTTGGCATGCCCCGGAGTATAACCATATATATCATATGCAATGGAAAATACTTTAACTTAGACATTTTCAAATTATGAATACGTATAAAAAGCTGTGTCCCTCTGCCAGGAACCGGGCTCAGCTTAAAAATATATTTCAAATGTTCGCAGCTGTTTCATAAACAGATTTCTTTTTATTATTAAATTATTTGCTTTTATTACTATTATTCATTTATTATTTTTAATTTACACAAGTTAAATATTGAATGATTTGACTTTTACACAATGTAATTACGTGAATAATAATGAGAGGAAAATAATATTTTAATAATAATATTACAATATGACAATTTCATTTTTAAGCAAGTGTTACACAGGAAAAGAACTTAGATCAGAAATGTGTATAAGCAGAGGAAGCAAGAGAGTACTTAATACCCTGCTCCCTATGCCAAACTCCTTTCAATTAAATATTCTCAGCTTCTTGTAGCATTGCAGCATTCACAAAAATACAAATTTTAACATTAATTGAATAATTTTGGAATCTTATTAAACTTTCTGGGCATCAATAGATGTATGTATATATATATATATATATATATATATATATATATATATCGAATACTTATAATTTTATATGCGTTATGTATATAAATTATTCTCTCTCTCAAATATCGTCTTTTTTATCAGACAAGCCACAAGACTATACATTTTCACTTCCACATATCTAGCTTTTATAAATGCCGAGCTGGATACGCTTAAACAGACAGACGGATGAACAGGTGAACTGCAGGTCATTTTGACCAAGATTCCGGTATTTTATGGATCCGCTATCAAATACTTGACCTGCCTGTTACAAATGTTTCTGCAAAATTAAACTTTGAATTCTTACATTTAATGAGTTTTGCCATAAAAAAAAGAGTTTCTACTTTGAAAACATATATATGTATATAGATATAAATTGATGTATTGATTGGCATATCTTAAAAATGCAGCTGCTGCCAAAGTCAACAGCTTCAATTGACCCACTCGCAAAAGTACAGCAAAATGCGACGTTTCGTCGCTTCGTTTGGGTTCGTGTAACATTTACCCCATGGCTAACCTCATTTTGAAGCGATGCCATAACTGACAACAGCACCAACAACAGCAAATCGGAAGCGCATAATGTGCCTTTGTATCGGCCTGATAATGCGACGCCTACTAAAAGCTTTGGCAAGCTCTTACATACGAACGCCCACATCTCTGCACGCCCTCCAGCTGATGCCAAATGTTGTGTAAACGGCAGACCCCAAATGTGTGCCATAAAAGTGCAACATTCGGTGGCTTATGATGTGCAACTACGGTGGTGCTGTGTGGCAATGCAGGAGTGGCTCGCAGCTAAGGCTTTAAAGTTTGCCCCTTAACGAGCTCCAAAGCAACAAATTAAAAAACTTAACGCTGTGCAATTATTTGACTTGCATAAGCAACTATAAAATAAAGCTACAAAAAGCAAAAAAAAAAAACGGAAAGTTAGCGGCCTGTGGGTTGCTCTACTCGCAGATACCTATTACTTGAAACATGCAACCATTACTTTGGCAAACTAGTCTTTAATATTCCATAATGACGAAACCCTTAATCCAAGCTAGTCTTATGCTGTCTGTATATATATATAGTATATTTATATAGTATATATTTAATATATATATATACTAAATATATACTATATATACTATGGGCATTTGCCTGCTTCGATTGGTTGTGCCCGTTTCGAGGTTGTGTACTAATTTTCAGTTAGATAAACATATATGTATATATGACTATCTGAGGCACATCAATATGACATATATAATTTCATATATTTTTATATGCCTAGCTGTGTGGTTTGCTTTGTCAGGCATATTTTTTCTGCTCGATGCACAGGCTCTATTCAGCTCACGTTGCTTACAGGGTATTAAAATTGCACAAATTAAACAAAACTTTTGCACAAAGCAAAATCGCTTTTCCCCAACTAAGTAAAATGGTTCCACAAAAAAAAAAGAAAGCAAAACAGCAAAAACGAATGGCGGCTAAAATTTATTATATTCCACGCCCACCACGTCGCATCATCCCTTGCAGTCGCACCCTCCTCCGTCTCCTGCACGTGCTGAGTGGACACTCAAGTTTTTAAGAGAGTCATAGATATATATGTAGTACGTACTTGTACTATATGTACTATATTCATGCTAGGTATATATAGATATATGTGTTATGTACATATATTTCCCTCGCACAAAAACAACGGCTAGTAAATTAGCTGGAAAGTAGTGGAAAAAGTGTGCGGCAAAATGGCGGACGCAGAAAATGTGAAAAATAGAACGAAAAGCGCAACAACAACAGCAATGCCAGCGGAAAAGTCATAAAAACAGGAGAGCAAAATGAAAATGAAAATGAAAACGAAAATGAAAATGGCAAATAACGTGTTATAAAAGTAAAATGCTCAACGAAAGGTGTAAGGAAATGTAGAGCTCTCTCTAGCAAGCATGAATTAGCACCTAAAACCAGATGACAGCATTGAGATAAGCAACTGCATTACGTCTAATTGCGTCCCAGCAGAGCGTGACAGGGTGACTGATCTCACAAAACGATATATTTATATTAATCTATATATTTATATAGATATTAGAGAATTTATTTCGTTCCAAGGGTAATTAAATAGTAAGAGCAATAATACGAACCAGGCTGCTTTTTATAAATATTATATAAATATTTATGCATTTCGAAGAAACTGAAAATACGTTTTCGTGTAATTTCACTAATGCGGAGTCCACATGGTTCCTCAGATATTGTATGATATAATTAATAACATGCCAAAATATTAGCAATTCAAAATATTATTAATACCCTCAAAAGTGGGTGAAAAATTACCATATCACTTATTGATATATATAATGATTTCATTTAAAAATTACCATATCACTTAATGATATATCTAATGATTTCATTTAAAAATTACCATATCACTTAGTGATATATCTAATGATTTCATTTAAAATAACTTTCATTGAACGGAGCAGTCATCCTTATAATTGATCACGAATATTCTTGTCCTAGTTCCCAATAGAAATAGTTTAAGTCATGAGCGATACATTGAGCAACTCATAAGTAACTGTAAAAAAACGGCCCTAATTAGTATTTTTGCTCTTCAAATTGAAGTAATAATCAGAAATGCTTTAAAGCAGTATTCAGTTCTTACACGCCGTGCGAAGGGATTGTTGAAGTATTTTGGTAAATCCAATTGCATTGCAGTCCGAAGCAATTTGCTGAGTCTTAATGTGACTCCCTCCAATCAACTAGATTCTGTGGCATTGAGATTGAATCAAATCGTTAACGCTCAACTGCACAGCCTTCATTTCATACATTTGTCAAGCCCAGGCTTCTTCTCTTCCTCTCCTCTCCGCTATTTTAATGGCACCCTTCCGACCCTCGCTTCGGTAACTGTCATCGAGCAGCAATTTAATTTTCAATTACGTGAAGGCTGCCAAAAAAGAATGGATGCGAATTGCACACTATTCCGAAATTGCAGTCTCAATAATTACTCAAACTGTCGCCTGTGGCACACTATCTGCTCTGCCACGCCCCGTGCTGCCCGCCCCATGTGCCCTTCTGCTCTCCGACTGCCTCTTTACAGGCTCTTCATCATGGTCAGCCTGTTGGCTGGCTCACTAAAAATCGGCCCCGCAGGAGGGCCATTCGCCACGATTCGCTGTTGTTGTACTTGTTGTCGTATTTGTTTGTCAGGCTTGTCGTTTGCTTTTTTACAGCAATTGTTGTTGGTGCTGCTCTTGCAGTAATTGCAAGTGACATATTGAAGTCCCAGTTAGCCCATTTGATGCGAACACCCTGTACGCTGCCAACGTCCTTGACAGCTTACAATTAAGTGACAATCAGTGTGGACTCTTGAGTTCGCTTTTTATTGCATACTTTGCGGCTGTCGAAATTGAATTTCAGTTGCATAATTCATTCGCTCACGCACACACACACAGGCGCAGATACTCATAGCTACGTAGTTGTTGCCTTCTTTGATTCGAGATAGCTCGTTTATTACATAACCACATTTAAATTCATTTCCGATTTTTTGCTTGGCTCTTGTTGCGGCGCTCTTTTAGCAAACATTTATCTTCAATATGGCAGAAGGTGGGTGGCGGGGGTGGGTGTGCCGGAGAGGGCGTGTGTGTATCTGTGTATGTGTTTCGATTGTTGTCGCCGCCATCGACAGTAAAAAGCGCTTAAAAAGACACAGATTATAACGTGCTTGCCCACTGAACTCAATTGCATTTGACACTTTAATGGGCCCACAAATTATCGAGAAGTTCTGCAAACCACATTCGCTAGAAAGCAGCTTTTGTCTATGGCTGCTTCAACAACAGCTCAATTTCAAATAATAATATTTGAAGGAAACAGATCTTGATTCTCAACTGTTGTAATTTCAATTTAAAAAAAATATTTGAAGCGATCACATCTTGATTCTCAACTGTTTTAAGTAATTTCGTTTCATAATTTTAATCTTAACTTTCTTAAATAAAAAATTTCAGTCAATGTCTAAAAAACAATCAGACTACAAATGCAATTATTATATATATCTAAACTCAAATTTTTCTTCGATATATTCTCAAAAACAACTATTGAAATTCTATTCTTAAAAACTATTAAAAAGCTGTGATCAATCTTAAAATTTCCTTAGTTTCGAGCGAGAAGTAGTTGGAAATTTCAAGAGTTTTTTCAAATTGTTGTCGAAATTCAAAAGAAAATAAATCGAAAAGATTTCTGTGATTTTTGATAACACTTTGGAATATTAAATAGAAATTCTTATTGAATTTCCTTTTCTTTTGGTCCGTTTTGTCCCG